TTTTTTTTTTTTTAAACTGTGATTTGGGTGAAAGTTTACTGAGCAAATTCATTCTCCATACAGCAGTTCACACACATTTTGTTTCATGACAATGACTGCAATCCCCATAATGGAACAGCTCTTTCCCACTTCCTCTTGTGATTGGTTACCTTCTTCCTGCGTCCTCCTTTCCTATGCATTCCTGCCCCCTGAGCTATCCCCTGTACAAATACTACCTTTCTGATCTCCCATGATTGACTGTTCTAAGGAGTATACCTAACTAGACTAAATGTTCACCTTATATGACTGTCCACTGTTTGGCTGGAAGTTATGAAAGTGAGTTCAGTTCCAGGCCTGAGCGATGGATGACTAGGGGCCATAGTCACAGGGGTTTCACCAGTCTCTATTAGACCAGTACCCTTGGTCTTTTTTTTATGATTTTGAATTCTGCTCCACATTTTTCTCCCACTCTATCCAGGATCTCCTGCACTGATCCCCTTCTGAGTGACTGACAATGGCAGCCAGGCACCATCTAGTTCTGGTCTCATGGTAATGTAGGCTGAGGTTTGCATGGTCCACTAATCCCTTGGACTACGCAATTTCTTTTTACTCTATCCAGAATGTCTTGCACTGATCATTTTCTGAGTGGCTGACAATAATAACTGGGCACCATTCAGCTCTTCCAGTCTCAGGGTAATGTAGGCTGAGGTTTGTATGGTCCACTAATCCCTTGGACTATGCAATTTCTTTTTAAACGAATGCATCTTCTTTTAACAGGTAATGATAAAGACAGGAAAAAGTAACAAGATGTATGACCAAGGAAAACTTGTTACTGCATTCAGTTTCTAATCAACATATACTTATTTTATTAAATAAATAGTATTAAATAACTGTGTGGGTAAGGCAAGGTGATGCCGATTCTGTAAAGAGAAATACAATAATTTTCAAAATAAAATGTTTGAGATATTTTCAGTTTTGAAAAAGAGGTATTTTTCATTTGCTTTTCTGCATGGTGGAAATACTCCCAAACCAGAAAGCTGGATAGAAGGTTCATGTCTATGTACCAGCAATTTTATCTGAATGTTTGTGAGTAGCTTTTTTGACTCTAAATGCTGATACAATCATTACCTTTACTTCCTAGGGGTTGTCTGAAGCCTTTGACTTGTATGTTGCCTAAAACAGGTGCACTAATAATAAAAGACTAGAAATTTGCTTTCTTCTTCACAGAAAGGTATTTATTACAGTAGTACATATCATGCCAGAATACATCATTCTTCATGCATGACAGAGCTCTTAGGCAATTCATAAAGTTCACATACAAACTTGGTTAAACTTTCACAACTGTTTTGAAGATTTTTATTTTAAAGGTGCCATATGCACACATCAATGCCAAATTATCAGCTAGAAATTAATTAACTGCATTTTTTAAATGCCTAACTTTCAGCCCTTTTGCACTCTTGTAAGACAATACAGTTTTGTCTCATCTAGCAAGGGAATTACGGCAAGACTGATACTACAAAAGTACCTTTATTTCCACTGAATAAAGGAAAGGCTCTCTTTCTCTTACTGTGAGTCATGACTCCAAATGGCTCCTGACACAACAACCAGCAACTGTGAAAGACATCCTTAACTAGCAGAGGTAGACGGGAAGTCATAAATTTACTTCCCCTCATTTACAGGATTTGTTCAATAAAGAATACGAGCCTATGTTAAAGTCATAGCCTTTGGGTATTAAACAAAGAGATGTTTATAAGTATAAAACAGACAAGTAAGTTAGTGCTGGTGCCAGAAAGAAGTTAGGGAATATCTATTACCAAACATTATAAGCACCCCCTTACAGTGTCAACTTGGCCTGAAAGAGCCCAAGGGAAACAAAAGCATTTTTGAATAGTTAGAGCATGGCTCCTCTAGTATTCATATCAAAAATAATGGTCACATATGAAATTTACTGTGGCACAAATAGTTAAGTGCTTGGCTACTAACCAAAAGGTTGGCAGTTCAAATCTAACTAGAGATACTTGAAACAAAGGCCTGGTGATCTACTGAAAAATCAGCCACTGAAAACCCTATGAGCACAGTTCTACTCTGACACACACTGGGTCATAATGAGTCAGAACTGACTTGATGGCAAGTGGTGTAGGTTTTTATGAAATGCATTCAGCAGGGCTAAATGAAAATCCGTACAGAATAAACATGAGTAGACTCAGCAATAAATACAGTATTAAATTCTTGGGTCCATCTATGACTTTCAATGGAAGACTAAGATAAGATGCTTTTCAGAAGTTAGGAAACCAACTATGTAGGTTTAGGAAGCTCTCACCTGGATGTTCACAAACACGCCATGGTAAGTCTCATACAGAACTTTGTTACCCTTCACATGTAGTGGAAATTCAAAAGGAATTTCTGTCTTGCCGCTGGGGAATTTTCCTGGTTTCACCATTTCTATGGTGCTGGTGATAATCTGGATAGGCTGTAAACAAAAACCAATGGAGTCTATTAGCATACACTTTTAGAGGTACTTTCAAATTATAGTGTCTATTAACCTCTTTAGGAGCTCTGGTAGCGTAGTGCCTAAGGCACTTGACTGCTAACCAGAAAGCTGGTGGTTCAAACCCACCAGTCACTCCACATCAGGAAGGCTGGGCAATCTACTTCCAGAGTTATACTGCCTTGGAAACCCAAGGAGGGGTCCGACTCGACAGCACACAACAACAACACATTAACCTCCTTAAATAGACAACACTGAAACCCATGGATGCTACCACCCAGCAGTGTCTTGGGCAACAGAGTGATGGGTCTGAAGATGAACAGAGAGCCAGCTCCATTTTCTAAGTCTCTGACATAATGATGGTTCATTATAGCATGGATGGTTAGGTTCCTGGGACACAACAGGAACAAGACTGCTATTTCCCTGTAGTCTCCCCAAACATCTCATCTCACTGTCACACAACTTTCTAAAGCAGCTGTGATAGCTCATTTTCTGTGTCCACTTGACCCCACTTTCCTTCCGCAGAGTGACTAGTGGGTTTGAACTGCTAATTTTCTGGTTAAAAGTCAAATGCCTTAGGCACTGCACCACCATAGCTCCAAGGTAGGTATTAAAGTTGTTGAAGCTTTGGTTTAGCATCAATCTGAGAAAGTTCATAACTTATGATATACGTCTCTCAGTGCTAATGAATTAAAATAAGTAAACTACAAAAACACTGCAAGGCCCTGAATCTAAATACTGTTAATACTGATATCCACTCCTCTTTCCTCCTAACTCTTTCCTGCAAAGAGTTAATATGTCCTTCAGGGCAAAGTACCAAATGTTAGTGATCAACACGGTGGCACTGAGAAAGAGGAAGGCATAGAAAGGTGCATGGGAGGTACAGACAACAAAGATGAACCCTTTTGCACGTACAGTACTGAGCTGGCAGTGATGGCAAGCATTGATGGGATAGATGGGTGGACAGGCTGAACAATCAGGTATTGTCTATGCAGGGGGGAGTGTGCCCATGACCATGAATAGGGTTGGCAGACAATGCTTCTACAATTCTATCTGTATGTTCTGTAAGAACGTCCATGTATATAGTAGAGCTGTCAAAGGTCAAGGTTCTAGTCACTTCTTGGCCACAGCCAGCTACCTGGAGGGAGTGAGTAGGCAGACCTGTGGGCTCAGGACCATGGTCACAAGGGACATCAAGCTCAACTGGCATAACATACTACACAAAAACACTGTTCCACATCCTATCTGGGCGAGCAGCAACTGGGATCCTAAAAGCTCGCAAGCAGCCATCTAGATGCAATGATAGGTCTCTCCTTATCCAGAGTAAAGAAGAATGAAGAAAACCAAAGATGCATGGAAACAATTAGTCCAAGGGACTGGTACACCATGTGATCCTCAGCCTATACAACTATGAGACCAGAAGAACTAGATGATGTCCGCTACAACTGTCAACCACTCAGAGCGGGATCTGTGGAGGAGATTCTGGATAGTGCAGGAGAACAATGTGGAACAAAACTCAAAATCGTAAAAAAAATTTTAATAAAAGGGACCAAGTTTGCTGGTCTGATAGAACCTGATGGAACATTTGAAGTCGACTGGTCCCTAGCTGCCCTTCAGGTCTGGAACTGAATCCATTTCTGTGGCTTCCAGCCAAATAAAAGACAGGCATATGAGCTGAACCATTTATATTAGGTAGATACACTCCTTGGAGAGGTCAATCATGAGGGTATAGAAGGGCTGTGTATGCACAGGGAGACAGCTGAGGGGGCAGGAATGCATGGGAGGGGAAGGACACCGGGAATAGGTAACTATGGGGAGGAAGTAGGAAGAGAGCTATTGCAAACTGCAGTCAATGTCCTGAAACAAAGTGTATGTGAACTGCTGTCTGGAAAATGAAT